GCATTCTGCACGGAGCCATCTGAGGAGGAATTTCACTCTTAGTACCTTACCTCGGGATTTTACCCCTTAGGCAATACAAAATCATAAACATGCAAGTCTCATTGGATTACATATCCGAGACAAAAGGTGACTTATTCCTACCGTGGGATTCCCTATGCGGCATTCCCTCTATGGTTAATGCATGATGACAATTTATTAAAGCATATTAAATATACAATGAAATAATTGAAATGTGACCTAAAAGTGCCCCCTTTAAATGCCGGGGTAAGCCTAAAATGATGTGCAATACATATGCATATGCAATTGACTAAAATTTAAACATGCTTGATATAAGAGGCGGTCTTATCTTAAACGAGTACCATGTTAGGACTCTTATTTCTAAAGTTTGTGTATGCAGAAAAAGGGAAAACAAGAGAGGTTAGTTCAACAAGTAACATATAACACATTGTGACAATAAATGATACAAGAATGAAAGTAAATAAAGCAAAGAAAGAGGGGTGAAATCCCTCCCCTCGTGCTTAGTGTTCCTAATTGGATAGGTTGACTCTATCTAGGTAATTTCTAATATGGATGCATGAGGTTTGGCTTACTAATGCATCTAGACTCGATAAGGTTTCAGGCTCCCAAGCCTTCAGACCAAAAAGTTAAGGGTCATCAATCCCAAAACCTTCGGTCGGTGGCTTGAGTGATCCCTTAGGCATCGCTATGGGCGCAGAGCACACCATCCGCCTACCTAAGGAAATCGATCCTAATCCTACAAGGAGATGTGGGATGGCGCCACGAGAAAAATAAAAATAGGGTAAAAATAATGCATGCACGTATGAAGTGCTTCCTTTTGAGGGGAGAGATTATAATTAAAACACGTGTGGAGGCTCTACGGTGATATTTTCCCCCACCCAAATGCAAAGCGCGATACGAGAAAAAATAAATAAATGAATAAATAAGCCATTCATCACATACACGTAAGACGAGGAACGATTACGAGTGTGAAATGCAAAACATCCTAAAAAAGAAACATGCAACCTAAAACATCCAAATATGATAAATATAAGGGTTAAAAAGAGAAAAAAACGACTAAACCAAGTGCTTGGACTCTCTAGCGTCCCCAGTGGAGTCGCCAAGTTGTCGCGCGCCCACTTTTCGCGATGGAAAAGAAAAATAAAGTGTGAGGTTTATAAAAGATATGATTTTATTTTTAAACAAGTTAAAAGGGACCTAGAATGGGACTTAAAAAGAATGCGACAATTTGGGTCCAAAATTTAGTCTAAAAGGGTTTTTAAGAAAAAAACAGGAGTCGCCACTTGGTATGGAGTTTTGGTGTACCAAGTCACCCAAAAAATAAAGTAAAACAAAATAAAACCCTTTTTGACAACTCCAGGTCTTTGAAAACAAGAGAAAATGGATTCGGGAGTCACGGTTGAAGAAAGGGAAGGCAAAGATTCGATTAACTCAAATCTAAGGCACCCTTTCAACCTAGTCTAAGCTAGTTGCGAGGTTTAGTCAAAATTTTCCTAATCTAACCCTTAATTTATCACATTTGGATGTTTTCTATATGAATGCAAATTTAAAAAATATCGCAAGGGACAACATGTTCATTCAAGGGTTTAATTGAACCAATCGCATTAATTGCGAAGGTCAAAATAAATCCTCGAAGGTGTCACAAGGATGCAAATGATGAAAAAGAAAAGAAAATAAAAGAAAAGAAATTAAATTATATACATATATATAAGTGATCAAAGAAAAAGGGAATGCAACATGAAGGGTACGGGAGGCAAAAAAATTCGTGACATAATTTTCTTATACATGGATTAATAGGGTATTTAAACTAGAAAGTTATAATCACCCATTTCCCATGTTTGAAAAATAATTATCCTAACATGAACAAGCAAATGAACTAGCTTAAATGGGATGCAATTCTAAATGACATGATTAGCACCTATAGCGGGTAGGGGATAATAAAATAGGGAATATCATGCAAATGAGAAAAGATCCTAAAAATGAAAATATGCATGAAAATGTGGTGAATAGCATACAATGATGAATCTAGCGCAAGATGACCTAAAGGGTCTAGCGTTGGACTAGCCCATTTCTAAAAATCCTTGCTAGCGTTGGACTAGCAAGTAAGCGGAGGGAGAAACCACAACTAGCGTTGGACTAGTGTGGTGACGTCATGCATTAACAATTCATAGTGAAACAAATAAAACATAAATTAAAACAAATAAACACATAAAAGCACGTAGCACATAACACGTAAACATAATATCTAGATGCGAAAATCCTAAGGAAAGCGGATAAAACACATAACACATAAGCCACATAACACGCAACCTATCTATTACATCGGGGAGTGCCTAACTACAAACTAGAAGGGAAAAATATAATAAAACAAATCTAATTATCCTATCTATTACATTTTTGAGGTATTTAAATACCTCTTGAATCATTATAAAAATAAACTAAACAAATATAATATAAGAAAATTTAAATGAACATTTAAATGCAATAAATAAAACATATAAAAATATATAAACACATAGGAACACATAGGAGCACATAAGAGCACATAATTGACATTGAAATAATAAAAATAGGGGTACCTCCCGTTTGAAGTGGTGACTAAATGGAGTCAAATTGTCCTATTTATACTCACAATGAACAAAAGAATCATGGCACCACTTTAATTGAAAATAATAATAATAATGTTAAAACACTAAATTCACGTTAACATGTCAAATGCAAAGAAATTTAAGAACATCTAAAAATTGCAAGTTAAATATATTCAAAAGCGACATAATTAGCTATTAAATAAAAGAAACAATCACAATAAAAAGAGTCAAAATTCATTAGGGACTGAATTGCAAAAATTGAAAAACTTTTGGGGACAAAAATTATATTTTTTCAAAGTTCAGGGTCAAAATTAAATGAAAGATAAATTTTAGGGACCAAAGTGAAATTACTATAAGGACCTATATGAAATAAAATTAAAATATTCTGGGCCACAATGAAACTACTCCAAAAAATAGGGGCTAAAGTGCAAGTTCGTTTCTGATTTGGGCAAGAAAAGGGCATCGGGCCTCCCTTTTTATTTTACTTGGGCCGAACATACCTAAGCCCAACTGAAAACCCAAGCCAAAACACACAGGCCAGCCCGTCTTTTATCACTCAAACCCAGCCAAAAACACATGGGCTCTAACCTCCCAGCCCAACCGAAACCCAAAAGAAACATAAACCAAAGCCCAACCCCAAAACCTAACAAAACTAGCTCTTGGCCCAACCGAAAAAATAAACATTAGCCCAATCCCCTTTTTTCTTTCTTTTCTTTTCTTTTTCTTCTTTTTCTTTTCCTTCTTCTTCTACCCTTCCGGTTCTTCTTTTCCTTGGCTGGCCGGCTGAAGCTCCTCGCCACCGCCAACCATGGCTGACATGGCGGCTGCCGGCGCCGCCACCGCCGCGGTCGCGGCCATTTTTCTGATCACAAAATTTCACCAAAATACACCCCCTCACTCGATTTTTCGCGTAGGTTCCATTTCCGGAGTTAGTTTTTACAAAAGATGATCTGAAAGTGGCCAAAAAGTCAAAATACAGTCCAGTTTTTATTTTTTAAAACACCCAAATCTTTCACCAAAAATCATAAAAAAATATATTACAATACTCCTTATAACCTCTACAATACAACTATGATTTTAACTAACCAGAAAAACAATAACAAAAGACTACATTAAGGCAAAACAGTCCCTAAAATCTTTTTGGCATTTTTTCAAACAATTAATATGCATTCACAGACATCATTTCCTTTTCCTTCATCTAGTTCATGCCATTTCCCAATTTTCAGCAATGCAACAACAACAATACGAGGCAGCCAGCAGAAATGAAAGAAAACTAAACAATGAAGCATTGATTTAATGTGCTAGACAAAAACAAAAAAAAATACCTCAATGTAGGTGTGTGTGAGGTTGAGATGGAACCGAGAGGAGTTGGGGAAGATTTTTTTTTCTCTGTTCTGTTTGTTTCCTCCGCCCAAGTCCGAGAGAGGGAGAGTGAGGGGTCAGGCTGCAAAATTCCGAGAGCTTCCCTTCCTCTTCTCTCGTGCGTTTCTTTTTTTTCTGCCTCTGCCCAGTGAGTCCAGAGGGATTGGAGTGCTTTTTTTTCCTTTTTGTGGCTTGTCTTTTTGGTCTCCTGAAACTAGAGAGGGCCGAGGGATGTATTTTTGGGGGAGGAAGAGTGGAGAATTTTTTTCTTTGTGGCCTGTCTGATTTTTTCCAGAGAGAGCCGAGTGAGGAAAAATGGGTCGCCAAATTAGCTTTTTGTGCGTGTTTTTTCCTCTGCAAATGTTGAGTGTTGGCAGAGCAAAAACTCATGGCTAAGAGGGAGTCAAATGGGTTTGGTTTCCTTCAAAATGATGGCTTCTGCCAAATGAAAAGAAAAGCCCCTGGGAGTTGAGTGTAGAATGGGTTAATAGGGGTTTTGGTAGAGAAAATGATGAAAATGTGTAAGTTTAGTAATAATTTGATTTTGATTTGATTTTTGATTTTTTTGATTTTTTTGAATTTTTTTTTGCTTTTAACTTTTCTCCCTTTTTTTTTGTTTGTTTTTGTTTTGTTGTTGTTTTTTTTTCTTCTTTTCTAAAATAAACCTGCAAAAATGAGAAAATTACACATTAATAATAATAATAATAGATAACTTATTAAATAGATAAAAATTTAGGAAAACATTAAAAATTGACAAAAATTTGGTGTCTACAGCTACTTTAAGTTTGTTCTATGTTTAGCCTTTTTCTACTTAATTAGGTATGTTTAGTCTTTTGATGTACTGTTGTTTACTTAATGTTTCTTTTACCATGAGATCCTTGTAATTTTGTAGTCTCTGAATTTTTTAGTAAGAAATTTTCATTTATTGTAGATTATTTAATATTTGATTTGAAATTCATTTGTTAGCTTGCTTATATGCAGTTTCAATGTATTGATGTATTTACCTTTTGGTACATAGTTTGCTTTCTTATTGTAATTATTGGCCCTACGGAAAAGAATGATTTATTTACAGTGGCTCATGTGCAATTTCTTTACTATCAATGCAAAAAAAAATCACCACTTAATAACTACCACTGCGACATTCATTGAAGATAATGCACACATGGTGGTAAACAGACTGATTTTGTATTCTTCGGGGTTTTTCCCCCTGAATAAGAGAAATTTTTCCCTTCCCTAGATTCTTAAATGTATATGCTGATAGGATTTAGATTATCTCCTAATTGCGTTCTTTTGTTTATTTGATAGATTGTATTCCTCAACAATTGAAGGTTACGAAGCTAGAATAGAAACTCCCAGGGGGTTGATACATGTACATTTGCTTGTGAAAGTTAAAAATAACATATTGAATAGTTGTGCCTTATAATTTTCTTTGCCTTTCTACTCTTGAATGATGAGTTGTACTGGGGCAATTTCTTTTCTAGCCCGTTCTTCCTTTTTTTTCCCGGCTCTCTTAGCTCTTCAAAGAGCCTATTACTTTGGTTATTATCATAGTATGGTTAGGTTACACAATTTGTTTCACCAATTTAATGGGTAGATTTTACAAACTTACTTTTCTTCTTTGCATTTTAATCTTGATAACACCTCATTAATGTTTCAAAAACTAGAAAATCAATTTTTTAGCAAATGTTTTTACATTTTGAGCATTATCATTTAATTACATGGCTTTGTTCTAGAAGTGTTTGTGTGAGCAAGTTGGGTAAAGCAGAGCTGACGATTGAACGATGTGGTTCATTGCCTATAATAGCAGTCTATTCTGCCCATAGTAATTGTAAGACAAAACAGCCAAGTTTGATCTAATAATTGTCAGTTTATACTTTTATGGGTTTTTTTAATATTATTGACAATATCTTACTTGAGCTTTTATTTCGTATGTGAATTTACCAAATCAGATCTTTAAAACCCTTTTTTCTATGGTTAGTCATTATTGGTGAAGTCATTTTTTCAGTGTATGTAATATATGGTTCTTGGTATCTCAACGTTATAGTATACAAATGTGAAAACATTTTGAAAAAATGGAAGGAATATCTACTGAAAGGAGAAAAAATTTTAACTTTTCAGGTTGTGAATTTTTTTTGATTTATTTCCATGTCATTTTTCCAATTTTACACTAGATTGGACCTTCAAGTTTCTGCTTCCTTTTCATTTCTGAAGTTTTTAATTTCTTGCTTGCTTCTTTAGTTTTGCTGCTCCTCATAATCTTAGATTGCTGCCTATTTGATAGATTGAGGAAAATCACAAGGAAATACTAAAGGGAGGAGAAAAAGAGTAGCTTTTCAGGTTATCATCTTTTCTTTTTATTTTGTGGTCATCTTTCTAGATTACCTTAACTTTGAATTTCAAATTTCTGATTTTTGTGCTATTTAGTGGTTTTCACGAAGTGTCTGGTGGGTGTTGAAATTGTTAATTTTACTAATTCCTTTTTTTAAACTATTGCCTTCTCAACATGAATTGTTATGCATCTGAATCATATATGAAGCTGGGAGGTTCAGTTTGAAGTACTCTTGAGGTGGATATCTTTTCTCATAATTGATGTGCATTATACTCGTGTTCTATCATTTGCCATGCTGAATTTATCAATCATTCTAATATAGTCTTTGATAGCCATATATTGAGGGTTTTTTTAAATAATGTAGCTTATTCTTCTAGAAGCTGTGGATGTTGAAGAAAAGGCAAACAATTATCTAAAGGAAGAAATAGTTGAAAGAGATCAATCAATCTTGCTTCATTTTTTCTAGACATATATATGTTTTCTCACCTTGTGGTTTGTGCTGATTCTCTAGGCTTTTAGATCAAATATTTTGCTAAATGAATGATGCAAAAGAGGACTAACAGTTTGATTGGATGCTTAAAATGCATTTTCGATTGAGCATAGAGTAGTTATTACTATTATAATTATTACTGCAATTCAAAGGGTAATTTGTTAGTCATGTTTTCCCTTAAAAATGCTGCTGCAATTCAAAGGCTAATTATTACTGCATAATATTATGTGTCTGATCGGATTCCTTAAAAATGTATTGATAGCAAGGATTTCACAAATTTCATTCCTTGACTTTCTCCAAAATTGTATCAACCTGATAATTGTCTGTGCTTCGTAAATTTCTCATGTGAGTTTTTTCCTGTTTCTCTTGAAGCTCATTATGGCATTTGCTTATGCAGTTGTGTTTTGACTTGTAGCTTTACTATTCGATATTGGCCGCATGGTTTATAATGAAAATTCAGACTACTTGGCAGTTTTATGGTCTACCTTGTATTAATTTGTTTGGAATGGAAAAGTATGATATTATTTGTTTTCTTTTTACTAATAAAGAAAATAATAAGATACCGACTTGTTTGAATTTGAGAAATTCTAGCTGGTTCTGAGGCTGTAAATATTGGCCAGTGCAGTATAAAAGAAAATTACTTCATATCTTATCTTTGCTTTTTAGTTGCTTACAAGGTTATAGCTTGCTCTAGACAGTTTTTTTTTTTTCCAATGTTGTCTCCCCTTCTACTTCATTCTTTCTTCTGTTGCTATATTCTTTTCTCCCTTCCTCCTCTGAATGCCGTTCATATTTTCTCTCCTTCCTCTCCCTTTCATGAAAAGTTTCTTCTATATTTTATTTTAGTGGATTGTTCTAATTTTTTGTTGTCCTTGGTCTAAGAGCATCAAAGTTAAGTTGAAAATTTTTAGAAACTTCCTTTTGTCCTGCTTTATTGAGAAATCTTCTTGATTCTTTTGCTCTCCTATACGAAAAGTTGCAAGTTAGATTTTGGAGCAGATGTTTGCACTTAAATTTAGTTAGTTTTTAGTTGTACATAACGTTGAAACTGAGAGTAAATTTTGTTTGGAAACCATTGACGAGTTTTTTGCATATGGCAAACCTCTTATTTTCATTTAGCAATTTAGCTTGCATCTTTTGAAACAGCATGGGACTACTCCAAATGATAGTTGTGAGATTGACTTGCATGATGTGAAGGATTTTACCAGTCATCTATGCCCCTTACTATTGCACGGTATATGTAGATCCATTTGATTGGTCTTTTTCTTGCATGCAGTTTTAGACAAAAATTTAGGTATCAGAACTCAGCAGATCATAATCTTCTTATTCAGATATGAGAGTTAAAGCAAAGGAGCTGGGGCTGTTAGCTGAGTCATATTTGGAGGGAATGCAATCAATATACAAATTGATTGGCCAAGTGCAGCATTTATGGTCCATTGGGTTTACAAGTTCTTGATGGCATCCCTGCAGAGATGCGAGATTTGTTGGAAGCGTATGTGTTAGCAGTTGCTTATTCTCATTTTGTTTCTATTTAAGAGATTATGACCTCTTCCAATGTACCCAAAAAAGAAAAAGAAAAAGAAAAAATGAGGTTTCTTTATGATGTATATCCTTGATATTTTTTGGAGGATTTTATTGTTCTTTTGATTGGCTTTATCCCATAATGCTGTAAAACCTCTCTAGCATTAAAGTTGTGCAGAAATTGTGAGGTCGCTTTCCTAAAAACTCAAAAGACAAGATATGTTGAGAAAGAGTTTTTAATTATGTTAATTAATGCAAGTATGTTACTGTTGATGCTTTTTAAGAATGAGATTTCATTCGTAAATTTTGAGGAGAGCACAATATAATTTGTATATTGGATCAATGGCCAGTTGTGTATGTTCTAATCATGTTTTTCTTGCCTTTTGTAAAGGTATTGTATAATAATTTTCATCTCTGGAATTTCATATTTTTACAATTTTGAACTAATTATATATAATTTCTAAGAATACAACTCTGAATATTTTTTTTCATTTACACCTGCTACATAATAATTTGCAAAATAAGTGGGTATAACTGGGCTTTTATCCACCGCGCATTCGCGCGGTGAACCTCTCCTAGTAAAATGAAATGGATGAGCATGATGGGCAAAGGCAGATCTGGGAGGTGGGACCACAATGATTGAGAACCCCAACACCAAACATAAAATATAATGCCGCATAATATGTGGGAGCTAGGATGGGAATATATTAGTTAAACAACAATAAACAACTTGCCAATTTTCTCTTAGACAACCCCTTGATTGGGAAATTTGCTTAGAAAGTGATATTGGCTTGTTAAAGTTGGACGTTCTCCGTCTCCATGACCTCTCAAACTCAATTTTTACATGTAAATTGGACCAACTGGGGGGTCGGATCTAAAGTACACTAAAATCTCTATAAATTAATAGTTTTGGTATCATATAAATTTTATTAATTTAAAGAAGTATTAATTAATTTATAAATTAATAATTTATTAATTTATTGAGTATACTTGCATTTCAAGAAATATACTCATTTTAGCAACTAAAGCTTTATTTTAATTTATAAGAATATGAATACTTTTTATAAGAATATGAATTATTCTATTAATAAAAGAAGGCTAAAAGTCTAAGAAGTATAAACCAATCCATATGTACTTGATTTGCAAGTATAATTTAATTCTATTAATGTCTTCAATAACTGATATCATTTTTCTATCAGCAAGAGGTCAAAAAGATTTAGAAATACTAAATTATAAACTCTACTTCCATTTTATTAAATGCATATAGTGAATCAAATTAACTTTATTATATATAAAAATGACAAGGAAGTTTCTTATAATAAACAAGTTCAAAGTTTTCTTACACATGTCATTGTTAAACTTCGGCTTTCCATCCAAAGGTGTTCATAAATCAATAATAGACTCATATTTTATGAAAAATATAATATGTATTTTAGTGAATATTATTATATGATATGAATGGTATCAAAGGGTTATATAAGGTTTTTCAAAAACATTATTATCTTAGTATTAATTTATCCAAATTATTAATTTAGCTCATTAGCCCAAGTTGAGACTGAAAAAATTATCATTTGATAAAGGTGATTAATTTTATAGAGATTTTATGTAGTAAAGTCACATTTTGAAGGACGATGTAGGGGAGGCAGCACTATTCAATGTGTGATAAAAATCTATTGCAAATTAAAAAGTGTGACAAAAGTCATTTAAAGTTTTAACCTAATTTGAGATTGTGGCTTCAAAATTAGTCCCGCCCCTTCTCTTTCCAATCTATACAAATGTTTAAATGGGCTTTTTATAAGATTTATTTTGAGAGAAGAGTTTTTTTTTTAAAATTATTTTAAGGAAGGAATTCGTTTTGATATTCAAGGAAGTAAATGCAAATATATCAATTTATGGCATCCTTTTACATGCAAAACTAGGTACTTTGACATTTGAGTGACCTATGTAGTTTTTTTTTTTTTTTTCCATCCTTTCACCCTTTTCCGCATCCTTCCTATCCCTAATTGTCAGACTCAAAATTCAAATCTTGAATTTGAAAGTTGGCCACTGGACGAACCCTAGTGGTTGAGTGACTTGTGTAGTTAATCATAGTTTTTTTTTGTTTTTGTTTTTTGTTTTTAGTAGGGAAGATTAGAGTCTATCTCAATTTTAACTATTTGACGAAGGCATTCTCAGCAATTAATTGTAGTCCTCTTTTGACAAAAGAAAAATAAAAACAAAGTTGTTAACAATTCAAAGACATAGAAAAAAGTGTTATGTTACTTTTAAAATAATTATGGAATGTGTTTTTTTATTTAATTTCTATAAAATGAGAAGGCATTCAAGCAGAAAATCTCCAATGCTACCAAAACTTTCATTTAGTTTCCAACTGAAAGCTAAGTAAAGTCGTTTAATTTATTTTAGTCCATTTTAAAGTACCTCGAACAATTAATTTACCGATTTGCATAAACACCGCATTTAAATCATTGATGTCCTAATCTAGTTTTCGTATGTGCTTACTTAGCATCATATACTACATATACGAGTCCTTTATTTTTATCAATCTCTGGAATTTTTTTTTTTTTTTTTACATGTTTCATTAACTCTGGATATTTTTCTTTTAAGGTTTTGAGTTACTCGCATTTTGTACTCTTTTTTGGTGTAAATTTTGGAACAAATATTGATGTTTCTCCTTATTTTATGACTTGATGAATCCACTATAAAGTGTATAATTGGTAATTTTAGAAATTACAAAAAAAATTAGGTCAACATTTTGATTGAACCTAATAAAAAAATGGTTTGACCTTGGTTTGAACTTAAAGCTTAGGCCCGATTCTAAAGTGAGCTAAGCTGAATTGATTGTAAATGCAGCCAAATTTAGGATCGACTTAAATATTAAGTACAAGAAAAACTTAAACATTATTCTATAGTGCAGAATATAAAAGAGGCAAAGGCAATTTTTTAATCAATTCTAAAATGCCAGAAATATGTTGTGCCTGTAACCTACGTGCATGTTTCTACTACCTCCTAATATCTGTATGATGGTAGTATTTAAGGAACACCTGATGTTAATTATGAATACAAATTCCAGATTCTTTCCTATTATTACTCTCTTATGTAGGCTAATTTTGATTTTTTTGTAATAAAACAATAATTTATTTAATGGGAATAATGTACATCGCAAAAGGATGGGATAAAGAAAATGATGTGAAATACAATATACTACACTAAATAGTCACAGCTATACCTAGCAATTGGGCAGGTTTTGGCGGTTAATATTGGTTTTCACTTAAATGGGTTATACCCAACCATTTAACTTTAGATTGGGTTGATTTTGGGTTGGGTCATATTGCGTTATCTCAAACCCATGATCTAAATATGACCCAACATATTAATTAATACATAAACTTTTTCACATATATTTTAACACAAAAAGATTTTTTTCACATATATAAAAACAGTTTCACATACATAAATGTATTTTCACACACACAAACACACACTCACTTCTTAAGTTTCTTGGAAACACATCATAAATAGAATAATATTTTATATTGCTTGTATTGTGAAATTTAGATAATAAATTATACATTTAAATAGATTAGCTAAAAAAATTGTTTACTTTATACTTTTTAATACTACTAATTGATTGAAACTTATTTTTGTCACAACTTATGAGCACTTTTACTATTCATATCTATTTTATTGAAAATTGTAATATTCTATGTATTTAAATTATTGAATGCTAGATTATATTATACTTGAAAATGTAAGTAAGAGACATATAATTTGTTGTATAATAATATTGAAATTATAGAAAATAAGTTTGTACTTTAGTCCTTATATTCTAAAAAATTTTATGATTCATGACTCTAGAAATTTTGCAAACTGTTGTGAAAGGTCCATGCATCAGAGCTACATTCTGGGATAATATGCAAATTGCTTTCTTCCATTAAATGACTGGAGACATTGCTGCATTTTGGTTCTTGGACTCGCTAATTAAGAGGGAAAATTAATTGTCTTGCTGAAATTAATTAAGAGGGAAATGATTTGCTTCAGACGAAATGAAATTGTTGGACTAACCATGCCCAAGTTGCCATAATTTATCAAAACAAAATAGAATTTGCAAGTCAACTATATTGATTCGAAGTTATCATGATCTATACATATAATAAATATTAGAAGGTATTTTTTTATTGATTTGATATAGTTAGATAATTTATCACCTGATTAATTAGAATCATCTAGGATCATACTTGATGCTATGGTCATATTAATCTTTTAGAATTACCACAGCTCTAATATAAAGCAGAAAATATTATATGCTTGTAAAAAGTACCGGTATTGGTCCCCAAAAAATTATTAAGGAAAATCCCAAACTTTTTAAGAATCTTGTATTTATTATTTTGAATTACTTTTATACAAGTTGGATATTTAATACTCAAATAAAAAATCCAATCCGCCCAATGAATAAGTTGGATTGTTTTTACCCAACCTTATAAAACCCATAACCCAATTGACCCAACCCATCCTTTAAAATTAATGGGCGGGTTGTTGGGTTGTTTTTGCCAGCTCTAGCAGCAGTAGATTCTCTTGCAAAAATGGCTAGCATGTCGTGCATTTCATCAACTTACCGGGCTGCTAATTGCCCTGGAGGAATCAGTGGTATTATCTATCTGGACAAATTGGGTTATCCGTTCATTCACGAGCGACTCGCAGCTAATCAGAATTTGCATGGTTAGTGAATGCATTACATACGATTAAGTAGGAATCTGAGAAGCAAAAGCGAGGATATAAACCTGACCCAAAACTTAGTTAATTGAGTTGAGGATGGATCTAAATATTTGTCAGAATAGTTGTGTTGATGTTAGATTTAAATACTGTTTTACATGAAATGAGTTTAACTCGTGTCTCTCAAACTTGGCTTATAAGGTCCAATTGAAGCTAGATACACAGTGAACATTCTAACTATCTCATTTACTAAGTAATTAATCAAGCTTCCCAACTAATTGATTTAGCACATTATTCAACATCCTTTTTAAAACATGCTTCTGAAAGGGCGACTAGTTTGAATCAGATTCTATTTTCGAAAACATGTTTCAAAGCAAAGTTTTAACGTTCAAACATCAA